CTGCGGGAAGTCCCATACTTCATGAATTCGGACGAGTCGGTATCCTTTTTCGATTGCTTTATGTATCTCTGGGGTACACCAGGTGCCTCGTAACATTCGTTCTTCATCACTGTGTGGGCAGTGATAGTCGCGTTCCAGCATGTGTTCTTTCTGTGTCTCTATTTCTACACACTTACGGCATAACGGGAAGGTCAGCTTGTAGGAGTTTCCAATTTTATGACGGTAAGGTAAGACTGGGTTATACAGGTCAGCGGGTGGGGTGATGTCCACAGTCATCAAGCCAAAGTAACTTCTAGGGTCTTGATTCTCTGGTTCCAAATAGATGTCCGGGTGGCCTACAGGGTACGTACCATACTTGTTTACGTAGGGGTACTCAGAGGTTACGTCGATGTAGCGGATTTCTTCTCTTTCTTCTTCATTTACTTTATGGTACAGGCAGGCGGCGCCCGTTCTACCACCGTAAAAACCTTCTCTTGGGTTCAAAGGAGGGACGATATCCAAATCTTTTAGAAATTCGGTAATGGCTGGTGTTTCTTTCTTCTCTTTCTCCCATTCGCACCCCCAGATTTCCACCACTCGATACCCTTTACCGCGGAGTTTTTGGATTTTCTGACTGGTCTGTTGGCGTAAGGCTTCTACGGTCAACCCATTGGAACAGAACGGAATTTGTTTGCGATTGGTGTAGCAGGTACGACAACCATGATAGAGGCACCCGTGAAATTCATAGACTGTGCGGGTCTGTGCATCGTAACCATCCACGAAGTACGAGGTAGGGCCAACAGGGATACGATACTCTCCTCCGTTACGTGTGTGCTGAATTCGACTTCCGGTATTGTATTCTTGCCACATCAACCATTCCAACGATGCTTTGGAGTGATTCATACGGGCACCTCGCCACCCCGATGAAGGTTCTACTGCTATGAGATCTAAGGGTAAATGTTTCCTCCTCCAATAACGGTTACACGCTGCGGCGATCGTAACGCATTTTTCCATAGGATTGAAACCGGCGATGCTTTTAAATTCTTGGATGAATTTGTGACATCCAGCTTTCAGTAACGCAACATCTGAGTGACAGTATGCAAGCAGTTCTTCTTTGAGATCAAATGGGTGTTGTTTGGCTGCTTCTTCTCTATACCACACTTCGAATTCTTCTTTTTTCTTACTCGACATTCCCTCCGGATCATAGTAAGAAACTTCAGGTAACGGACCCACATAACTTCGATTTTCTTGCGTATGAAACTTGTGTGGGAAGAAGCCTTTTTTCAACTCGGTGAGACCAAAGGTGTCGGTAAATGCGGACAGAGCCATGGGAAGAAAAGCCATGGAATCTTTAAATGTGATTTTACCAGCTTCCAGAGAAATCATCTTTGTGCCGTTAGGAATCATCACATCGAATTTTCTTCCTTCTATCACAAGCTGATGCTGTATGAAAATGGAATCATACCCTTTTAAATTATGGAATATGCAGATGACTTCACGCGGTTCTTTGTACTGATCTTCGGTAAGGTTCGTCAAGAATTCCAGAAACTGTTTACTGCAATCGTCGCCATAAAACGTGTAGGAGGTGTTGTTGTCGGAAGTTTGAGCGCAGACGCAAATGGGTAGGTGTGTTCCGTCTTCGCTGATCATGGCTTCATAGTCCGCGTAGACGAAGATGGGTGGTTCTTCGTACACGGATGCCTCGGGGTTTATTTTTAAATGCTTCTTGATTTTGGCTTTCGTTTTCCGTTTGGGTGAATCTTCTTGTTCAGGGATGGGTTGAATGTAGCATTTGTGTTCTCTAAGGTCCACGTACTCCTTACAGTTAGAGCATTTTCCAAAGTAACAACGGTGTAGCTGTTGGGGGTCTGGCTGAAATTGTTTGCAACAGTTACCGCATCGTACTAGGGTCATGCAGATGTTTTTTGCGCGGTGTAAGGCGAGGCAGTTCTGACTGTAAAAATGGCGGTTGCAGGCTGAGCAGTGGAGAGTGGGTTCGTGAGGTTTTGTACCACATTCGGTCTGCTTGCATGCTTTACAGCGACGGCCCTCGCATGGGTGGTTGCGGAAGTCGTCATGGTCAAAGCCTTTGTTGCACGTGTCACAAAAATACGATCTTTCCAGGAATCCGAGGTAAGACGTACATCCATGGTAATGACCCATATCGCTTTCGTACTCTGGTTGATACAGGAGGCGGATGATGTACTTTGGCGATTCCACGTTTCCTTGAAATGTAATGCAATATGGATAGCATGTGGTCATCACTTTCAACTGATAGTCGGGCGCCAGGTACTGTTGAAACTTTTCTAATTCGGCACGCCCACAAGGGCCTTCGGGCACACCAGCTTGCTTGTGAAGGAATTTGGCGCATCGGGTGAGCACATTCGGATTATTTCCAAGATTCTTATAGTAACGCTTTCCCTCTACACCATCGTCTTTATGCAAGTGGGCTTTTGTTAGACAAATGGCTCTTGCAAGGCAAAGGTTGTCTTCTGAATTTTTAATCGGTAACACACATTGTTTGTTGTGGAGAACATCTTCAATATTATGTCTTCCCTTTGTTAATTTAGATTTACCACCTTCCTTTGGTTTTGGCACGATGGTGAGGTCGACGGCGAACTTATCCTCAGGGCTGAAAGATTCATTCGAGTTAAGTTGATTGGCCAGTTGGTTCATATATGCACCAAATCGCTCTTCGCCATTTCCATTCATGATTTCACCGACAGTAAAGCGTTGTGTTTGTACATGGTGGTCAAATTTCTCGGCTTTAAAGTTTAAAAACACTTCATCTGTATCTTTCAATGTTTTGTTTTGCCACTGGTCGGTAACGTTTTTGCGATGGAGTGTTTCTTTCATCGATCTAAGAAATAAAAAAGGTCCTTAGGGATCTAGCAGTTTTTTCTCTTTCATTTTTGATTTCTAAGACAAGTTTTGATATTGCTAGGTCAGCTTCTCCGTATATCGAAGACACATGATGATTTTTATCTATGTCTGTTTCATAGTGCTCGTAGCAATTACTTAACGACAGAAACTAAATCATGATCATCTTACCTGACTAAAGCCTCCGTGACTTCTTTTCCCACATTATCGTTCTTTGTTGGGTTACGCCTCTGTTTTAATGTGGCGCGATATCTTTGTTGATTCGCCGATGATTTCTTCCACCGCTTGGGGAGACCAAATTTTTGAAAATCAAATTCAAACAAGGGCATACCACCACCAATTTGCTCAGGGTGTTCATCCAAACCAATGTCGAGGGCATCTAATTGTTGTTGATCCAATTCACGACCAAATTGAACCATTTGCGAGTCTGTCACATCGTTGCCATATTGATTTTCAAAGACTTCTCCAATTTCGTTTAATAAGTCATCCGAAATACCATCATCCCCATATTCCACTTCGTCAAACTTTCGTTTCGCCATCGCTCGATCCCTCAATTCAATCTACAACTTTACACTTTACTACTTCTTCATCTACATCTGCAGCCTTTGAGATGATGGCGCAAGCTTTGTAGTAGTTTTTTATGAAATTTGAATTTCAAAATTTTCAGGCTGTATACAACGACTCTGATTGGCGACGATTTCCTTAGGGGATTGGGCAGCCTCAGGCAGCTTCAAATTTGTTTAATTGTTCTCCCTAAGGGGCTCTGTTTTATTCGAAAACGTAGTTGAAACGCTTTCCACTTTTCAACTTGCGTTTAAAGCAGAAGCGTCAACTGAAATTTCAATTTCAAATTTTTCAGGCTGTATACAACGACTCTGATTGGCGACGATTTCCTTAGGGGATTGGGCAGCCTCAGGCAGCTTCAAATTTGTTTAATTGTTTTCCCTAAGGGGCTCTGTTTTATTCGAAAACGTAGTTGAAACGCTTTCCACTTTTCAACTTGCGTTTAAAGCAGAAGCGTCAACTGTTGGTTCAAGGTTTTGACTACGATTTGACTAATTTATCAGTAAGAAGAAGTTTTGACGTGTGTGTGTGATCTTCTACGTGAACTACAAGTGTGACACAAGGTAAGTTTGTGATTGCGATTCGTTTTTTATTTGCTAGATTTGCTTTTTTAACATTTTACTTCGCTTTTCTCTTTTAGATGCCTCCTGTTAGAAGATCACGACGATTAAGACGTCAGGATGTCGAAGAAGACGGAGCGCCCGACGATTGCTTCATCTGTTTGACTTCAATTACTGTAAACATGTATAATGCTACAGCGACACCATGCTGCACAAGACGAGTTCACCGTGCATGTTACCAGCAACATGTCCATACATCGGCTGCATGTGGACACTGCCGACGACCATTTGCTGCCCAAGCCGCCATCGATCCAATAAGAAATCCACCGATAAACGAGGATTTGGCAAGGAGAGAAGCACAAAGACAACAGGCCATCCAAGATTTGGAAGCATTGCTTCAACCTGGAGCGCTCGAAGCCAGGATTCAACAGGTGTGTGTGTTTTTTATTTTACGAATCGTTGTTTGCGTGAACATTTCAAAAAAAAAAATTTAAAAAAACTAAGACAACCTTTTTTCTATTCATCTTTAGATGCATGACGTATTTGAAGCATCGTATTTTATCGTCGATCATGAGTTTATGAGCAATTATTTACTTCGTCTGATCACCGATATGCGGAATATTCTTACTAGGGTATCCGGACAACTCGCCCCATGGACAATTAGCCAATTAGCCCCAGACGATTAGCCCCCAGTCTCTGGACTATTAGCCCCCAACCCACTAACCTTGAAATAAACAATGTTCTTTCAAAGCCACGCACTATGTGCGAACTTTTACTAATTGGTGTTTCATTGTTTATTTCAAACCCACGCGCAATGTGCGAACTTATGCAAATTTGACGTGAGACATTTCATTCATCGCAATACAGGGCTCATTGTTTTCTTTAATTGACGATTCCTCCAATCAAATTGCGTGTTTCGTTTGAAAGTCAAAGGATCATTCAAGTGTGGACACTCGTATTAGCTTATTCAGCAGCAAAAAACCACGATCTTCAATACGATGTCTTCCAGCTATCTGACCATGTGTATCTCCTGTAAAGAACAAGTTCGACCTCGTCAAGAAGGCCTCCAGTGCGATGGCTGCCTCCGTTAGCAATACCGCACCTGCCATATGGGCGTGTCGCAGGCAGATTACCGCAACGCTGTTAAAAGCGGTGCGTCTATTGACTGGTGCTGCTTAACATGTGACTTCCCTCAGGCCGAAAGTTCATTGTCAATCCTGTCAACAGATATCCTTGAGTCCGAACAGTTCAATCCTCCAGCAGACTCGTCTGACCAGCTTACGGAGCCTTCGACCATTGATACCAGTTCAGAATCCGCAGTCGGTATAGAGGGATCAACAGTGCACGAACCACCCATCCAGCCGACGATTAACGATTGACAAATTCAAGCAGTTGAGGAAGTAGACCAGCCACTGACTTTTCAGATCATGGAGGGTGCCAGCGAGAGGGCAAAACGGAAGCTTATTGACAGCAACGGGTTTAGCTATAACGTCAAGAGGCAGCGCCTTGAAGCAACCGACTGGCAATGCACTGTTCGTCCGACGGTAAGATGTTTTTGTCATTTGAAGTGGCTAGGTCACGGTATTTAAGTGTTTGATAGTTACCGTAAATGATCTAATAAACAAGGTGCAGTTAAAAATCAATTGTTAAATAGTTGAGACTTTACTCATTTAATTGGGCGTTTATTAGATCGTTAACGGTATCTTGTTTGTTTTGAGTGGTCAATCGACCAGTGATGAAATTGCCAAGAAAGGCTCTCAAATTTAGGCGTAAAGATTAAGAGCGTTTTCCCGTTAGTCGTAAAAAATGTTAACCGTAAAATAATTCTAGCCACTGTTTATTTATGTTCTCCAACGGTAGCTACACGCCCGTTTACACTTTTTTTTATTTGTTTACGGCCTATATTCTTATAAAATATTTTATTATAGAAAAAAGGAGTGTACGCACAATGATAGGTAATGTCTATTGCTTTCCTGGTGATTTTTTTAGGGAAACCGCTGCAAAGCCACCGTTGTACAAAGACCAGGCAACTTGTTCGAGTTTGGTCGTAACCACCACAATCATGCTGCACCAGTCGGTGGAATGGTAGCTGCAAAAATCAAGTCCCTAATTAAGCAGGAAGCCAGACAAGACGTCTTCAGACCTGCGTCGGAGGTTGTCAACGACGTGCTCCTCAGTGAACTGACAGATGCTCCTTGTCCCAGCCTTCCCTGTGTTGACAGTCTGCAGAGAACCGCTAACCGCACCCGCCAGCAGTTACGACCACAAGACCCGAAGGACTTGGACTTGGACTTACAAATGGAGCATATCCCAGATGGCTTCTTCCGTGAAGATGTTAAGGTAAGAATATGAGCACTAGTTAGAGATAGACCACAAAAAAAGGCCAATAAACACCCAATTCCGCCTGTAATCTTTTACAGTTACAATGTTTTGTTTTGGTTATCACACTTGAAATTGCATAGCCGTGCCCGTTAACGTTTAGTTCAGGAATTTCTTCATTCGTGTTAGTTCAGGAATCTTTTCATTCGTTTTAAATTAGAAATCTTTTCATTCAATAGAACTTTCAAGCAATAATTGATTTCTTGGTTTCTATAATCGCTTACAAATTTCTTCAACGGAATTATGAACATTGTGCATTTTCTAGTCGATTAATAACCGAATGTTTTATCGTGTGTTTCAGATACGAGGGCGCCGTCACCTGGTGTTTGCTTCAGATAAACAGCTGGAACTGCTCTAACAGTCTAAGACGTAGTACATAGACGGAACTTTTAAACTTTGCCGCCAGCCGTTTACTCAGCTCCTGACCCTTAACGCCTTTGAAAAGAACGACGATCACGTGAAGCTGGTGATACATTTTATCTTTGCACTTATTATGTTACTGTAGTTTTTGGCGTCCCTTTGAAATAACGGTACGCCCTTGTACTTTTTAAGTATATGGGCGTACAGCTCTGTGTTAGATAAGTCTTCGTCAACTAAAAAACCATGTCTATGTTTATGTCTATGTCAGGTGCCTCTGGTTTTCGTCATAATGTCAGGCAAAAAACGGCGAGATTACAAGGCGGTCCTCGATGCTGTAATATCCATCCCCCCTTCTCCACCGAGAGTCACCAAGGTAATGCTGGACTTCGAAAAAGTTGTTTGGAGCGCACTCCGACAGACCCTCCCAGGCGTTCAGCTTAAAGGGTGTTCATTCCACTGGACACAAGCCCTATGGCGAAAGGTACAATCTCAAACTGTTAAATCACTGATTGGTCAAACTAAAATCGGCAATGATTCACTTTATTCTAGCTATAGTTAAAAGTGTTAAAAGGGTTCACTTCTAAATTTCGTAACGATGTCGTATTCACTAGTATAACGGTAACGGTATGACGGTATTCAACGAAATGACAGTTTTGAAAGTTATTTATACAGACTTAACTCTAAATAATTTCTCGGGCTTTCGAATTTTCTGAAATCTGGGACCACAGATCAGTTAAGCAAATACAAATTCGCGCAATGTTTAAAACGGAACTATTTTAACATCTAGCTAAAAAAATATTAAATTTCGCTTTTCTTTTATAGGTACAAGGGCTTGGACTCCAGGATGCCTACAGAAATGACCGCGGCACCCACCAGCTAATAAAGCAACTGATGGCTTTATCGTACCTCCCTGCTGACAAGATCGAACGCAGATTCCGTCGACTCCAGCAGCAAGCAACTGGCAGACCCTTGCAGGATTTCTGTAGCTACATCGAAGAGAACTGGATAACAAGTCAGACCTTTCCGCCACAGACCTGGAGCGTATTCCTGGAAGCGGTCAGGACCAATAACGACTTAGAGGGTTGGCACAATGGCTTGAACCGGCGCACCAAAGGACGATCTCAGCTTCCGTTGTACATCCTAATCCAGGTGCTTCACCGGGAAGCTGCACTGGTCAGCATGCAAATCCGTCTGGTTTCAGACAAAAAGCTGAAGAGGCATCAGCGCTCGACCTATAGGACCTTACAGAGAAGACTCTTTGACCTTTGGAGTGAATTCGAAAATGGCAATAGGAATTCAAAGGAGCTTCTGGAGGCATGCGCTCACCTCGTACAACCCATGTAATTTAAACTGAGTAAATGTTAATAAAGATAGATATTCTCAAAAAAAACTCAGCCACAAACTCATAAAAGTCAATGACCAACAGAAGAACGTAACTTCTCCTTTACATAAACTAAGACTGGGGGCTAATTGTCCAGGGACTGGGGGCTAATCGTCCAGGGACTGGGGGCTAATCGTCCAAAGACTGGGGGCTAATCGTCCAGAGACTGGGGGCTAATTGTCTGGGGCTAATTGTCCATGGGGCGAGTTGTCTGACATTCCTTACTAGACTGGATGTGGAACATGATTTGATTCGAATTGAAATTTATAAACCTCCAGATTTTAACACGTATTTTGAACGCTATATCGATGAAATCGTTCCAGCTCATATACGCAGATTGTTTTTGACTCAACACTTTCCTTTCGCTGAGTTTTTAGTAGCTTTTTTTCATCACATTAGAAGAATACTATACCAATTTTTTAGGTTTCAATTGCGTTTCCCTGCGCATTCAAATCGTGATTCTATTCGTTATTGCCACTATATGTTTCGTGAACGTTTTAGATAACCTTTTTTTTTTTTTTTTGCTCTTTAAATTTTATTGACATGTAGGAGAGTCTGAATTTTATATGAGAGCTCATTTTCCTTTTTATTACGACATTTTACACAATAGCAATTCAATTAGACTTTTTTTAATGATTTCAGATTCCTCCACATGATTACCTGTCAACTTTATGTTTGCTCTATGTGACTGATCAAGAAACAAATTTCATTTGAAATTCTTTAAGAGCTCTTTTTCAAGCTCTAAGAATTATAATAAATAGACTGGAATATTATGTGATTCATGTGCAATTTTGTATGGAATTTCAAAATAGTTTTTTTCAAGCGCATCACTTATTTCCCGATACATTTTATTATCAATTACTTTTTGATGTTCTTTTAGAAAATACTGTAATAAGTGATATGTTAGGAATACATGCGGGTATCTACGAAACAAGAAGATTAAACCGATCTTATTGTCATAGCAATTTATTTATGCGAGTACGTTTATTTTCTATTTTATAGATACCTCAAGAATCAATCTGTAGACTTTTAGTTAGATTTCCGATTATAAAGACTACCACATACTATTTAATTCGTTCTTTACGAAGACATTTTCAACGATCTCTTCCCAGATGTTATTTTTCAATACAAGCATGTTTTATGAGAAATTTTTACCTCAGGTTACAATTAGTTGCTGAAGAACGACACGGTTTTAATACGCCAAGACAATTATGGAATCATTATTTACATTTGTATATCTTACCTAATTCCGTGTTACCGTTTGTTGAAATAATACCTGGTAGTAATCGCATACCCATGGAATTACTGCAAAATTACTTTTATGGTCAACTTTTTCATATTCGTTTATATGGGGTTTCTCTTTCGTAGATACATCAAAACTATGTGGATACAGATGCCCTCTATTGGTTTTTCAGCAATTTAAAATTTGAATTATCAGTCATGGAAAACTTTAATTTAGCTGTTTATTTTCAAGATGTTGATTTTTTAAATTGTGTTCTTTCACTGTATAACATAAACCAATTCATACATTGTTTTTATGATATCCAAGAAAGAGAGCTCCATAGGTACGAGTGGTTGGCTACGACTTGGTCAAGTAATGACTATGAAATTAAATTTTTTACATTTTTAGAATGAATTCCCTTTGGATGATTTCCCTCTGGAGGATCTCGACGAGGTTTTTTTCACACTATGGTGTCTTTTAGATATGGAAGATGATGAAATTGTTGTACTTTTTAACCAATTTCACTTTTTTATGGTTGTGAATCAGATTTGTAATGTCACACCAGTCATAAGTTGGGGTTTTGTAGATTATGAGGAAGATGTAGCAGCACCCCTTATAGAAGATTATCTTTGGTTAACTACTAATTACAATTCAAACAATTATAATATTACACATTTTTATTCAACACCCGTAGCGTACTTTTTGTAATTAATAAACTTTTACATGGTTTTACATTTTGTCTCTCTATCTGTAATCTATTTCGTGGTAGGCAGAATGGAAACCATCTGCGACTTCTTTATCCCAGTTGGTATAGTAGATACATCTCTGGTTTCCATAGGGGTGGTAAATGTATCGTAAGGCATCGCGAAATATAATGTCATGATGTCTTTCCCTTAGTTTTAATTCCTGTATTTCCAGATCTTTTTCCTTACAAGAATGAACATGTTTCGATGCTTGCTGACGAATCTTGCGTTTTAGATTGGAAATTTTCTTTTGAGCCTTGGATCCTCCCATCCCGAAATTGGATGTAACAACACACTTGCGCGGCCTTTTTTCTTGCTCTGGTCGATATCGAAGTTGTACTCGAGATGGGGAGCAGAGATAACTACGATAGATAATTTCTCTAGGACTCTCGAGAGCTCTGTCACAATCCATGGTAATGGAGACTGGCTGAATCTCTTAGAATACCTCGGTTTTTCTGGCGTAAGCGATACCATTTTAAAGAGTGCTTAAATTCTGTCATAGCCTCGATGTCAGTAACCAACCAAGTAATACATTGGATTTAAGATGATCCACCCACGTGAAACGCGTTGTAAGCAGACACATGTTTTGCATGTACACGTAAAATCGTAGGGATAATGAAAAACAGACATGTTTATGACTCCTTCTACTTACAACGACGTCACTTTAAATAATAAATCCTAACCTCTAGAGATTCGGACAGCCTTAAGCAATACTAGACAACTCTTGAGCAAGTCCTAGACAAGTTTAGACAACATCTCTCTTGCGATTTAGCTTGGGTGGGCAAGTCTGGGCAGATGACGTCACACGTAACATTTTGTGACGTCTTACACCACATAAGTACCAGCCATAGGACATTTCGTGACATTCATACCACATAGGGACTGGCTCTAAAGCATTGCGCATGCGTACATTTCTAATCAGAAGATTGCACATGCGCATCACACAAATAGGTATCCCACATGGATGATTTTTACGCTACCGTTCCATATATAAATCAAACCGACCCTTACCTTTAATAACTAAGATGGCCTACATGGACACTCGCTTATTATATTATCAATTTTTACCCTCGTGTACCTACACGTCATGAATATAATTATCTAATAACCCTAACACGTGTACCTACATGGCATGAATAAATTATTACTCAAACTCGGACCCAGGCCGCGCGGGAATTGCTAGTCAGACGCGCTATACTACTAATCAGTTTTTTCCTTTTTTAAATTCGATTGAAAACTTGATTAGAAAACGGTGCAAAGTGAAGTGAAGCGATCAAAGCGTTAAAAAAAGGTTGTGACTGAATCACGCTGCTCGAAACCAGTCTTCAACCGAAGCCGAACTTGTTAAACTTGAGTACCCTTCAACAGATCGGAGGTTTTAACTCCCACCATTCCCACCACTGAGCCAAATTATATTCAAAATGCAAAAGAGCCTAAAATATGAAACAATAGAAGCACTGGACCAAGGAACGTGCCAAAAACCCGAACAAAGACAATAACGTACTCACGGCGTCTACAGCCACAGAGAATCTGCGGGAAGCGAGTTGTTCTCTACGTTCATATTTTGCACATATCCTGCATGATGCAAGGATCAGTAATTTCAATAGTCTCATATGGGTTAACGGAACGCAAGAGATGGTAAATTTCAGTAGGAAAGGTGATCTATTCATTTCGTCACAAACGTTGGATAAAGAGGAAAACATTTTATGTCTCCGTGAGGAATCGATCGTTCCGTCGAATGAATATTTATGGAAAAACTTGAGTATTTCAACAAAATGTGAAATCTGTACTTCATTGAAAATCTTGGCAATTTTTTTCATTAATAAAAAGTTTTCAACATTCTTTTGCTTTTTTGCCTTCTTGGAATACCATGGAACATTGAGGATGTCTTTGTTTTCGAAACTTTCTGCCTGGGAAAATATCCTCACAGTGATTGTCCGATATCCGAAACTTCCAAATCATTCCACAATGCACACTTGTGTCCTATCTCCAAGCATTTTTAGTGTAATTCTGATTTACCCTTCGAGAATCAGTAGCGTTAGGAGAGTCGGTTCCTCAGGTTTTTTCTCACTGGATGAACCGAGAAATGACCCAATTGGTTTCGCCGGTTATCCCAAAATGTTTTCGATAATATCAAATATCGTATAACTGGTAATTTTTACATAGCAATGTTCGACTCCGTTTCAATCAACCTCCAATTTCTTCAGCCGTCAACTCTTTATAGTTTTCGCTACCTCTGACACATTTGCTTACCCTATGAGCTTGTAGTATCCGTGTTTGATTTTCCTTCACAACTTCCAACTTTTACGATGTTTACTTTCTTAATTGAACGAATCTCTTTCGATTGGCCTCTAAACTCCGCTTTGTAAATGAAGCTGAAATTAATTTCGTTTCGGGGCAGATGAGGAAAGCATGAAACAGACATCCCCTTTTTACTAAATGTCATCTAGCAGTAGAATGAGTCCTCAAGCAGGAAATAAAACGAAAATGACCTCATTTTGCGTCAAATGCAATTGTATAACTATTTTTTAAGTCAAAATTTAGGCAATATTGACGCGAAATATATGCCGAATTAATCGTGAATAAACCTCAATTCCTTTCCCGTTATGAATCATTGATGACTTTTATGAAAAGCGTATGCAATTCGAACTAGGTTCATTGCTACTAAAAGCGTTGTGGGAAGCGATTATGACACGTTGATAAACATTCATTGTGGCAAATCGGAAAACTCTCCATATCAAATTGCTAGAAACTTCCCGCTGTGTTGTGCTTATGCTAGAATTGAAAATAGAACAATGAGAAACACAACAAAATGTCCTTCATTATTTATACTGTACTCCGTTCATCGCAGTTTGGCAATTACACGAAAATATAGAAATAACTAATAAGGACTTTATCAAAGGACTTGAACTCATTTTGAAAAGGTCTGTGCTTGACTAAAGTTGAGCAAAGGGCTTGCTAAATTCACCATGTTCCCACAATTAATTTTTCTGGGGTTCTAAA